ATCCAAGCAGAATTTTATCAGTTTACAGCGATTTATTGCCGACATGCACTAGTGAGTTGCCTGATGTCTTCCTTCTTGTTTTGTTTGTTTTTCAAGAATAGCTACAAACACAACTTAGCCAGCTGAAGCTAGAAGGAGGCACTGCTGTTCCCAAGGGCCTGTGAATGGTGAAGGATGTGCTGGTGTCCCACTACTACAATTACAACTAACATAAAGTAACAGAAAAAACCCAACCTCACTGTTAAACTGCGAGATAAAAACCTCTTACTCATGCTAACAGATGTATCTTTGACCAACTGGCATAGAGGTGCATTTTCCAGATTCATCAGATTTACGCATCTTGAAAACAATCTCTTTTTTTTAGGGTTTGCTCCTCCTTGTTATAAGTAGGGGTGAGAATTACTTACATCAGTTGTTGCAGTGCCAGCCAGTTGAGTTGGCTGAGTTAGTTGTTATGAGTTGGTGGGATAGCATTAATCATCTGAGCTGTGGCTTTGAGGTGTCTTTAGCCCATTTAACCTGACAGTGTGGGACAGAGAGAGGCTGGGTGCAAGGGGGGCTTTGGTGGAAACACAGCTTGTTTCAGCTCTCTGCTTGATGATGGGTTGCCTCATCAGTCATGTCAATATTGCTCACAGGGCCATGTTGAGAACCAAAGAAGGTTCAACCAGTTTATGGAAAAATGAAATGAAGCCTGTTGAATGAGGAGGAGGTGAAGAGACAGACTTCTTAAGCGCATATTTTCAGTAAAACATCTATAGCATTAAAATCACATTCTTAATGACTGATGCTGAGTTTTTAGGAAGTCAGTCAGTTGTGGTAGCATGCAGGTCCTCTGAGACCCTGAGATTTGATGCTGAGGGGAATATAATTTATTTTTGACATTGCACTTGGAAAAATTTTATTTGCTCTTGGATTCTGCTCCTCACAGGTGGTTCATTTGAATAATTTTGAAGAGCTCTTGCATAGCCTTTTCCATAGAGATAATGTAATGTATCCAAGTTTATTCTTTTATATGAGTCTTACATTTTATTTGAACGTTAAAGGCAAACATATTTCACATTAACATAAAATTAACACAAGCCTTAATATATACACAAAACTAATGTAATGTGTCATAATATATAACATATTGTAGCACACTGTTACCCCAAATCTGCCTTCCTCAACTTTCCTATGCTTCAAAGTTCAGATTTTTCCCAGACCTGTCAAGGCTTCTACCTTTGTAACAGAAATAATCAGAAGTCTGGCACAGGTATTCAGATACTAGCCAAGCATTGCCTCCTTACGTTATCTCTCTTAAGCTAATATACATTGGATGATACATATCCTGGTATATGCTTTCCAAATCTGCTCATGTCGTCTTGGATATTTTTCTCCACTAATATCGTGCAGTGTTAATCACCTCTAAGGAAAACATGATTAAGTTTTCCCAAGTGAACATCAGATTTTATCTAAGAAGGTAAAAAATAATGTTTGTGCTGCGGTATGTTGTGTCTTATATTTTGTCAATGATGCATTAAAACAGGAAGCAGATGTTCTTGAAAATGCTTTAAAGCTGCAGAGTAGTTTAAAGTTTAAGGTCATGCACTGCTGTTATCAAACCATGACTTGGGGATGTCCGTGACTGTTTTGGGTTGGGTTTTTTTTGTCAAATACCTGGCACCTCTACGCAAGTCTCACTGCTCTGGAGTCAGAAGAAGAAAGCCAGGCTGATGGTGATCCACCACCCAGCATAGTGACTCACCAGCTTGTGCCAGTTCAGTTCAGCAAGGCAATTCCAGTTTACTGCCTCTTCACCCTTCTGAAATAAGTAAAGAAAGTAAATTACAGATAATTACTGTGGAGATGACTCACTGTGTGAACAGCTTTTTAAAATAACTTCAAGTTTTAAATCACTGCTGATGAAAAAAAGGGGTGTTGTGTAGGAAATTTTTGGTATGGTAATTTAGTGCATTTACTTAAGGAGTGGAAAGCAGAGTGCTGACATAGCATTCGAGCTGGTATGATAAAGCAAAAATAGTGTATTCTTTGAGTATTCAGTAGCTTGCTGAAGGCTGTTTTTTTAAGCACAGTTTATCAAGCTATGGGGGGTGAAAGAAGTCCTGGCACATATAGTAAGAGATTAAGTTAATTTGATTTTTTAAAAAGTGTTCATGAAGTACAAACAAGTTCATAACTTCATTTTCATATCTCTTTTTAATACACATCTTTAATTTCTGTCTAGGGTTAAGAAACACAGTGTTGACAAGCAGAACTAGGTCTTTTGCATTTTACAAAAGCTGGTTTAACTAACTCTAGTCTAACTCAGACAATAAATGAACATAGTCTATTCCTGAAAAAGCCTAAAACAACAATCAAATAGTCTAAATTAATTAAATAAACAGAAAAGTAACATTATTGGCATAGCCGTCTTGGCGTCTGAATGATTTATTTCAGCTGAGATTCAGCTATCCTATTTTATTTAGATGTGTACCTAAGTGTAGGGTGGTCCCACTGAAACAACCATTGAGTAATAACAGAATCCAGTTTTGAATTGCTAGTGCTGGTATTCATCCCAATAATTAAGTTTAAAAATATTATTCAAATAGCAGCCTGAAAAAAATTGTTACTGGAATGAATATTCTTTGTATAATTGGAAATTTTTTTTTAACTAGTTTTAATGCACAGTCCTTAGTTATTTGTTCCTCAAGCAGCAGTTGAACTCACAGCTAATACAGATTCTAGGCGTTTGTATTTAATAACAGAACTTCTAACTAACTTTCATGTTCCGTTCTGTTTGTGTAGTCTCTGCCACTGGTTTCTTGAGAAATTACAACATGCTTGATTGACTTAGTTTGTAGTTTGTCTATTTACTTCTGATTCTGTTATTCCTAAGATTTAAATACTCAATTTCTTTTTTGTGGAATCAGCTGTCATGTTGTTATTCAACTAATGATGTATCTGATTAGTTCAATTTAAAAACAATAGGGTGGTATTTTCCCTTCTTTCTTTCATTGTCTTGAAATCCTCTACTGGTACAAACACATTTTACTTAAATTCAGTAATTATAAAGTAAAAGAACATGTTATTGTAAAACTTAAAAGCTTGATGTGATCTTTACATATATACAACTCAAAATGGATTAAACTAGTTTCAAAATACACATCTAGACAGTAAATGAGGAGTTAAAAAAGAGAAGGGTTAGCCTGGTAACTACCCTCTTTAGGTCATTTTAGATTATGCATTTCATAATATACTGTTCCTGTAATGTAGCTTTCTCAAATGTTTATTTGAACACCAAGCAATGTAAATAAAAATCACCTGTTTACCTCAGGAAACTTCAGTTAGAGACAGGATAGTTGGCTGGTGCTTCAGACAGTAATTCATTATTTTCTATCAATTGGATCTGACAGCCCCAAAAAGTACACCTTGCTACTCTGCAATTAGAAATAACTGATGTGTCCAGCATTAATTGTCACATAGAGTTGCATATAGAATATTGTACTGAATTAACCAAGGTTTATAGTTGGTCTCAAATGCACTTGGTGTCACTTGACAAGGTCTCTACTACGTCAGATGAAGTTTCACTACAAAGAGGAAAGATCTTCCTGCTCCTTTCCTAATTTTTCCCAACATAATACATGTAGTGGTATTGAAGGCAAAGGAGTCAATTTACCAATCACGGCACTGATCTTTGAGACAATGCTTGAAATCTTTGTGCATGCCAAATGCAACCTCTGAAGCTGTCAGGGTGGATCGATGTCTGCCATGGCTGTAGGAGCATTGTTTGTATGGAACTGATTCTGCAAGAAGTTAAACAGAAGAAGCTTCCATTTCAATGGAAATTTCAGACTCCTTAAAAGAGAAAAAATAAAAGCATGGATACCTGTGTTTAGTATCTTAAGAAGGTCTCTATATCACATTTATAGAGAGTCTTCTCAGACTTCTAGGTGCTTTTAGAGTATCCAAGTGAGAAACACTTAATTGCTGCTTTTTCTGTCATTGAAAACTTTGCAAAACTGTGAGAAAACCGTTTTTTATGATGCATGTGTATATAAAACATACTGACTGCAAGGAGAGAAAGAACTAGGCCACTGATGTACTTTTAAAATACAGTTTTCCTGTGAATAAGTCTGTTCCTTTCTTTTGAATGTACAGGTAACAGATAGTCTACAGTCAAAGGTGCTTTCTGATGGTAACTTAAGGCAATTTAATTGTTATCTGTTGCCAAAAGGGAAAGATTCTTGTATGAAGATACATATTTTTATTGCTTTCCTCAGACAATAAACATCTGGATTGGAGAGTCAAACAGGCTACTTCCCCCCTCCTGCCCCATCCTACCAGAAAAACAAAACCCCAAAACTGCCATTTTTCTTCCCTAACTACTTAATTTCAGGATCATTAAATCATTACTGCCAGCACAAAGTTGGGAAGAAACTGAAGAGAATGGAAGGGGTGGAGGATGGAGAGATGGGAAAAAGATGTGGGCTGTGCCTCTCATTAACTGCTAACCAGCAGCTGGCTTAGGTGTGTCATCAGACAACAGTCTTTGTTAGCTAACCAGATAACTGGATCCTGCAGTTGATTTTTTAGAAAACGTTACCTTAAGAACAGCAGCAGTGAATTTGACTGCAGAGAAGTTAGCTGAAACTCTTCTGTTGCGAATTGCTATTACAGTATTGGGCCTACCCTACTAGCTAAACAGAGGGAAAGGTTAAGAGTGTAATGTTACAAATGTAAGCTAAGATCTTAACTCATTTTAGCTTAGTTCTCCACTAAGAGGAAACATCTGGTACTGAAGCTGATCAAACTATTTAGAATAAACAATTTTTTTCATGATGTTTTATTGCTCATATATGAAGAAAATGTAAATAATATAACAATTAGTGCTATTTGGATTTCTTCATCTCTCTTTTTCTCTCTCTCTCTCTCCCTGCCCTGCCCTGCTGCCCCTTGCCCTCCTCTTCCTCTTCTTCTTCCCCTCCCCCTTCCCCATTCCCGCCTTCCTTTTTACACAGCCTCAGTTGAAGAGGAGCCAACTTCAGCAGGTACGAATAATTTATAATTACACCTGCATCATGGTAACCATTCCTTGAGAGCTGCCTTTTTTCCTGAATCATTTTAACCAGGTTTATCTTGTGCATAACACATGCTAAATAGCCATATCAGTGTTGGGTTCTTTTCTGTCTGCTCCTCTTCCTTTCATCTTTTTTTCCCCCAATTTGGAGTCAGTAGGAGATATACTCCTCCAGCAGTGGTTCAAAATCCTCCCTACCATAGTTCCTTAATTTTTGCTTCTTCCTTGGTTAAGCTGGCACATTGGGATTCACACAACAAACCAGGTCAAAAGCAATCAGGACTTCAAACAAATCAGTGTTTGTGCTAGTTTTTTATCTGACTTTATGCTGGTGAAGCTCAATCATTTACATGACCCCCAGAACTGGCATCCTTAAAGACAGCGCAGTCTGGGAACAAGCAGTGAAGGAAGGGAAGGACAGCAGGTGCAGAAGCATCCTGCTCAAAGAAAACATTCTGCAAACTATGGCCTGGATATCCACTCAGTGAACTTTTTTTTCCATTGACAGGCTGCCAAGTAGTGAGAACGGTTAACAATACAGCCATGAAAATTAGTTTAGGAGCTCCCCAAGAGACACACACATGTAGTGTTTATTCTATTGCAAAGATTAACTATTTCTAATTAATTGGCAATCCATTAGCTTGGGAGTATTTAAAGGAAAAGGAGACGACGTACCAAAGAACAATGCCACTAAACAGCTTAACATATTTGAAATGGCATTGAGTTGTATAAACTCAGTGAGCTAAAACATCAAATGAATATGGAGTCACTTTATAGTGGCTTGTTAAAGGAAGTAAAGGTCTCCAGAGGACCAAAGGAGAAAAGGTAAGGAAAGTGAATGCAGAAAGGAAGGATTGAACACTGTTTACAACACTAACCTACAACTTGGGAACAATATATGTAATTAGGGTACAGTGGAGAATAATAAATGAAAGGATGGAGAACAAAGCCATGAGTAGAATGTGAGAGGGAGAATAGTTAAGACTAGCATCGAATGGAAAAAGAAGCAAAAGGGAGCTTTTAACATGAAGATAGTAGTGGAATGGAAAGAAAGCATGACTGAGATGAGAAAAAACACCGCGAAGCGAAGAAAGGAAGAGTTTGGGAAAGAACTGTAGAGTACTAACACACCCCTGAGGAGCATATATTATAATTATTAAGCATCAGCCTTCAACTACACATTTCTTGAGAGATCTGTCAGTCTTGAAATTTTCATAGAAAATACCTTAATAGAAGCCTATTGCAGCTGTTAAATAGAAGTGTCAGTTACAAAAGGAATTTTTTTTACATAGGAAAGAAAAAAAACATTCTTTTTTCCCTTTATGGAACTGGTTTAAGTACGCACTTTTGTAGAGATAGAGTTTAGAGGCATATGTGAATACACTGCAGTAAAGTTCAAGACAATCTTGCTATGGTTGTGCACTGTAAAACAATCATTCCTGTTGCAACCAGTGGAGTGTCTCATAAAGATATGGCCTCCCTCTTTGCATTTTGAACATCACTGCCATTTTTGTGAAAGCGCGTACCTGTGAGCTGGCCAAGCTAACCAGATACATCAGCTGAAAATGGGTAAAAGGAGAGAAGTGGAATTTATAAGACAGCCACAGGGGCTCCACTACAGATCTCTGTTAGACTTACCAGCTGAAATTTCAATAGTTTCACAAAAGCCTACAGATTCTATATTCACTTCCTTGGGAGCCCTTGCCTTTTGAAGTGCCAGATGACATTGTTTGTTTGCTTCAGTATTCGTTTAAATGAATTTTTTTAAACAGTTCTGACTGCTTTGTTTTACGCTGCCCTAATATCACTGCTTTGTTTATTCCTCCACATAATCCTTGTGTTCAACAAAGCTCAGCCAATAATTTACAATGAACGTCTTTTGAGCATTGCTCCATCACAGAATATTCCTAAACGTTCACAATCTCCTTGAATTCACCCATTATCAATAACATCTTTTACAGCAGTATTTTTTCAAATATTTTGCCCAAGACTTGACCAGATATGTTTCAAACTCAAATCATTTACTTACTTGTGGCTGGTTGAATTAGCTGCATCTAATTTTTAGCCATTGTTTTTATTGTTATGGTTCTTACTGTTTCAGAGTGTGTCGGCATCTAAAAATGTGCCACAATTATTTATGCAGTAATAGCTATACCGGTGTAACTTTCTGTATGAAAACTCTTAATGGAAAGACTGATGACCTTTTCACGTTAGTTATTCCATGAGAGGATGCTGTTTGCAGTAAGAGTATACATGTGGGAGTTGCATTGATACAGCAATGCAGATAGATATTCCCACACAGACAAATCAACAGCTAGAAGTACACAAACGTACCACCGCAGAATGTTTCTGTTCTTTGATTTGGACAGATGACCAAATGCCTCTGGCATAAATGGTACAAGGTAGATTTACAATATGAGAAAAAACACATCTTTGTAAACATTTGTGCAAATAAATCTCAACTGCTCAGCAATTATGTTACAAGGGAACATGACTAAATACCTGAACAAGTAAGTGAATTAATGTAAGAGTCACACTTTCTGTTATTTAACCTGGTTCTAGGACATTACTACTTCACATGATTAGATTCTTTGGGAATTATTTTTGAAACAATTATTTTTGTACGAAAAATTTTGTTTAATCTGAAGCTTTTTCAAGGAATTAATTTGACTAAACTCCAGGCAGAGAATAATTTTTTTTTTTCCTATTCAAATGAAAATTTCCACTTTGGGGAAAACAGTTGTAGTCACTGCCTTGAATAGCAAACTTTGGATCTTAAACTCTTGTGCTAGATATTAATAGACTATAACCCATCTCTACATTTGCATGGAATGTGACTATGATCAAAATAAGCTATATTTAAATGTAGATACTATTTTTTAGTGTCATGGTTTAACCTGGCAGGCAGCTAAACAACATACAGCCATTTGCTCACTGCCCCTGCAGTGAGGTGGAGGAGACAATCAGAAACAAGGTAAAACTTGTGGGTTGAAATAAAGGCAATTTAATAGGACAGAAAAGGAACGGAAAATGATAATAATGATAAAAGAATGTAGAAAATAAGTGATACACAATGCAATTGCTCATCACCCGCTGACCAATGCCCAGCCAGCTACCGAGCAGCAGCTGGACCCCCCCCAGCCAACTCCCCCCATTTTTTTGTTCAGCATGACATCATAAAGCCATTAAAGATAATAAAAAATGTTTTTACACATATATCAGCGACAAAAGGAGGGCCAGGGAGAATCTCCCTCCTTTGTCGGATGTGGAGGGAAACATTGCCACGAAGGATGAGGAGAAGGCTGAGGTACTTAATGCCTTCTTTGCCTCAGTCTTTAATAGTCAGACTGGTCATCCTCAGGGTTTTCAGGCCCCTGAGCTGGGAGATGGAGATAGGATGCAGAATGAAGCC